CCGAGCCACCGTCGAATCCACGCGACGCCTCCAACCCCCTTTTTAGTCTATCGTTACAGTGGGATGCGTGTTCTGAGAAACTATCGTTCTTAACAACTCAATACGAAGTAATCGTACATAAAAAGACGTCAATAAGCGTTACCTATAGACGTATTTTCATCAGAATTATCCTGCTCAATTTTTACGATTGCTTCTTTCGAGCGGGCGTTCGTGCGTGTCTCTAACCCCCTCTGTTTATTTCACTCGCACTCGGTGGTCCGTACTTTCGTCTTCCAGCTATACAGTTAGTTAGTTGTAAGTATTAGGATACTTATATATTTGTTTTATTTATTGGGGAATTTAAACAAATTTTACGTTTTCTGTTACTACGTTTCATATTATAAAACACATGCGATATGGAATAATAGATTAATAATGAAACGATTAAGAAATAGAAACAGTATAGAGAGCATACAATTTATAGCAAATATCGATATAGTGTCCTAATACTTATAGCCGACAGTGTATTTAAAAGATGAGCTGACTGACGAGAGATTACAGCTAGAAATTTCTAGGACAGTACCTCCCCTTGGATGTTTCATTCGTCGGAACACGCACACATCGTAACCACAGAGTTTTACACTGCAATCCGCAAACGTCATCGACCACTGTCCGACCAAAGAATTGACTTCCACCAACGAAATCTGCCGCCCCTGTCCTTAATTGGAGATACCGTTAGCCTCGCGACCAAGAAGAAGGCCACTTGACCCCGCGAATCGATTCGCGACTGAGTTACGGATTTTTTCTACTGGTAGACGAGACAGACTGAGATTATGGTAACCGTATCGTAAGGTGAGCAGCGAGGAGGCGATGTGGATGTACCAGATGGCCTGTGGCCATCGGGATGAACCAAGAGCTTGCACTGGGAAATTAGATACCTTCGCAGACCAACGAACCTGTTTTCGGACGATACGTGAAGAGATCGAATCGAGTGGATGGCTCGAAAGTTGGATAGCTCTGCGTTGGAGGTAATCGTTTATGAGAGTGGTGAAACCATGTGGGGTGTATATGTTGGAAGGTTGAAGTTAGACGTCTACTGGAGAGTTTGAAAATTGTTTGTTTAAAGAAGATTTTTCTTTCTTGGGGAGGCATGTGGGAATATTGGTAGGTGATATTTCTATTTGAGTCTCGTGACGCTACGATAATTAATCGTGTGGTTACGTTTGTGTGGTATAGGTAGTGTGTGATAAATGTGTTAGAGTAGATAAAGAATATGATAGAAATTCAAATTCAGATTTCCAACTTCGAGCTATCAATTTTATGTCGTATGTACAAAGTCAAATACGAGGTGCAACTTTTGAATTTAGATTCAAACGGAAATGCATAGAAATTTCAACGTGTATTCATTCGAAGTATGACGCGATTAGAGGTATTATTATTACTGATTATCTCAAATTCACAAATTACCATATCACGCAACTATTTCACAACTTTCAGCTTTCAGAACAACGATTTCAAATTTCTAAAACCTTCCATCACATGATATTCTGTACGATATACATATGCAGTATGTACATAAGAACAGAAACTCATAGTTTTCACACGAGTAACTAAACATTTCGAGTCACCTCCTGGAAAGGAGGCTGGAAGAGACGATGGAGGTTCGCGTACGAGCCACCAGCTCGTTAATTAAACCGTGTAATCAGAGGGGAGGGGCAAAGGCTCGCAGACAGAGGGTAGGGATAGGAAGAAGCGTCCATTTATCGAGACGATCGCGCAACGGTGGATGATATGTTGAGAAACGGAAGCTGGAACGGCCATTGTTGTGCCAAGAGGGTCGAAGAATGAATCTTGCCACGAATGGATTTCGGCTGGGATTAAGCCGTCCCACTTTCGATTCCATTCGATGCCATCGTCGCTGCCGCGACTTATTATGCCCGCCACTTCGAATAACCTTCGCTGCCAGGCCTCGCAATTTCCGGACATGCAAATTTTCGAATATCAACGGGCAGGCGCCGCGCACGATTCGATATTTCACCGTTTAAACGAACTTTTCTACGCCGACCCGAGTCGAGTCGCGATATCTCGACATGGTTCCACCACTCGTCGCGACAAAGGAAGACCTACATTTCAAGGAAGTGGAATAAAAACGGAGCGTTCGTCTTGATCTTTCATTGTCCTCGCCATTGTTTCGACAGGTTTCTAATCGGTCGTTTTGTATTGGAGAAAAGAATTGGATGTAAAGAAAGTATTTGTATAGAGTGGACTTAAGCGTAAGAAGAATATTAAATTGAGATTCGAAAGGAAATGACATTTTTTTAGTAGAAGAGAATTTTAATAATCACGTGTCTTTTTATATGTTCTTTTTTAAATTATTGGTAAGTTTCCCTGTTCGTAAGGCTAAAGACGTTTTAATTAGTGAAAAGGATATCCCGATCAAGGATATTCCGAACGTTTTGGTTGGTACCTCGTTTGTAATCTTTATTTTCTTTCCTTTCATTATCTTCGACTACGATGTCAAGCTTCTACAAAGCCTGCCGTTGTACAATTATTACACTTTCGATATCTTTTTATTATTAGACGAATAATCTCACTGAATCTCTTTCTGCTGCTCTTTTATGCAATTACACGCGTCTGCTCTCAAGTGATATTGAAAATTCAATCTAAACTTCATCTTCTTATATAAGAAGAATCTGCTGTTTAAATTCAATGAAGCTTAAAAAATTCAATACATGTCTAGATCTTTTCTTTAACAAAAGGCATAGCATTACATGCTTACCGAAAGATAATTTGCAAAATGAATCGATTATATCCATATATAGAGACGTTGTTTCACGTGGAACGAAAAGTTGGGAACTCGAATGATTTTGCAAGATTCTGTGCGACGTGGCGCATGCTCGAGATACCCTATGCGGATGTATGCGCTTCGACTTGCATCGGTACACGTGTTCCGCAGCGTGTCGAACACGCGGTATCGGCGATGCAATCTTTCGACCCTCCGCGTCCGCGCCCAATTCTCTTCGCCACTCGCCTCGTGTTCCCTAACGCGTCGATGCGTCGACTATGATACGTGATTATCATTTCACGTGGACAAGTTTCAAACTGGGCCGACATTGCATAATCAGCGTCTGATTGTCTGGTTAATGACTGACGACTGAAATTCTGATTGTCGTTACGTAACGTAATAAAAGGAAACCGTATCTCGTTTTTAGAAGAATACGACTAATTATAAGTGAAGTCGTCGAATTGCAAGAGCGTATAATTTTTAATTAAATATAACTTTTCACTAAAATTCGTCGGTTCGTATTTTGTAGGAACAATGCAGATAAAATAAAAGGGCAAATAAGAAGTTATCAAAATCGACAAATGTTTACATATTATTCGATTGAACGAACAATAGTGAAACTGTTCTTCAAATTATTAGAACTGTAACTTGCATGCTTTTTAACGTTATTCCAACAATAATGAAGTAAACATTCTAACAAAAATAAAATATGCGAATTGTATTAACGGAATCGCCACTGATACGAAAATTGGAGAAGCCCGTGTCCTCGGTGTTCTCCAAAAACTTTGGTCACTGAACCACGAAACTGGGTCAGTCGACCATCAAACGTCGCGGTTGGTTAATTCAACGCGAAGAAGTGCCGTGTTCACAAAGGAGATCTGTTTTCGTTATTCTTTTAAAACTAACTAAATTAGTTCGATCGATTGTAAGATAAAAATGTTTAATCGTAAGTATTATAGTTATAAACTCGAACGCATTAGAATATACAAGAATCTTACACGTATTTTATCACATACTTCTTTTACTATGATTAAGCTTCCGTATCAACATACCAATTTCACCTCTAACTGCGAATCCCACTAATCGGTAAAATCTACTTACGGGTCACATACCTCCTGACCCTAACCTCAAACCACCCACTCGTCCAGTCGCATAGTCACATACAGTAGTGGCAAGTTAACTGGCCGAGACTTTGCCTCTTGGAACGTGCCTCTCGTATTGCATATATAAAATTTACAAATTTGCATTCACTCATTTCGATAGAAAAGATTCTTGGGATTTTCCAGAAATATAATATATAACGCGATGTGTGACGCACATATTGACTACTACTACTACTTGTCCAATTTTCGTTCGTTTCCTTTCCTGTTTTAACGTGTACGTTCCGTCGCACGATGAGTTTAATTCTCAATTCTAAAAACGTTTCGAAGTAATTATCGAATCTGGCTAGCGCCAGTTACAGTTTACCATACACAAAACATTTAACGCAAAACTCTCATCTTCCAGGAAATAATTCCGAATGTCACGATTCTGAAGATAAAGATCTCGCGATTTTCTCGCTATGAACGCGTTAGCGGCCTTATTAAAATATTCTCGATGGCAATTCAGCAAGGAAGAGGAATATAAAAAGAGACAAAGAGGGAGTATTATTAGACATTAGAAGTTGCGATGCGACTCCGAGGAAGAGAGCCTCTTTGCTATCGGCCCTCTTCTCTCTCCTCAGGAAGGAAAGGATCGAAGGAAGCCGTGTCGGGTTAGGAGAAGAAGCCTCTATTACGCAGTACAGGGACGGGGCAGGCAATCTGTCGGCTAAGCCGTTTCTTATTACTTTGCCATCATAAACGACTACCGGCGAAATCGGCGTGAAAACGTATACCTTCGTATACTATGCAAACGCGCACTATCTCGCGGTTCTCTAGCTTCTAACCCGTTTCTTCTCGCACGAATTATGCAGAGGCGAGCGTATGCGCGCGTAAAGGATACCTAGAACGTTTTATGCGACGCGTATCACCGTGACTGCATTCGCATTGTACGCTGCAACGTCCTATGCCACCCACGAGCCAGCTCGTGACTTTACTCTTTGCAAGTACGCGACGCGTAGAGCCTCCGTGCGCGTCTGTTCGCGCAGGTGCACGCGCAGATCTCCGATTTACGAGCCAACTACGACTCCGTGTCTCGTTTCGCGAGCCGATTTGCGTCGCGACGCAATTGATCGCTGGTTTAGATGATAGTTTTAACGAGCTGGTGAGTTGTCGTCGGGCGTTTACGCGCGTTTAATTGGATCGACGGTTTACGTAGGAGAATTCAAGATACGGTAGCGAATCTTGTTAGTTAGTTGGATCACGTTAGGTTAACGCGAATTATTATCAGCATCAGTTGTACCGATTCGTTTTATGACGATTTGTTATTTTCGATTTTGGCTTGAAGATATTTGGGAATCGCAGAGAAATACGTTTTCTTGATGGATTCGCGTTTCTTTTGTTCTCTGAGTCGATTTCAATGATCGCAAGTTAGCAGATAAATTAATTAATTTGGTAAATTAATTTAATATAGAATTAGTTGATTTGTGTTATAGTTTATAAGGAAATCGGGGAAAGAAGGAAGATGAAACGAGAATAACGAGTATAGAGTCAAAAGTTTTGAATAAGTGAAATTCGTCGAACACACGGAAAGTCTAGCTCATAGTCGAAATCGCTCGCATCTATGCGAATGTAAGAACATCCGGTGTCTTTAGTCGATGAAAACTGGCCGCTTTCACCACGCAAAATTTTCATTGTTTCGTCGAGCCTGACAAACGCACGAGAGTAATTGTAATCATTGGCACATGAAACAACAGTTTAACAGTTTCCGGTTTTCGTGTATGAAAGGACACTTCGCTCAGACTTTCTCTTGTAAACCGAACGAAAATTGTATGTACACTTGCTTTAAGAATAGTTTTTACACTATCCTATAGAAGTATTCTTGAAAATTTAGGAATAATTATAATTCGTATGCGCGTTTAAGAGTAGAGAAAAATGGAAGAGATATTTAACTATCATACAAAAATATATGTATCTATCTATATAGTGAAATATCAATTTATCATTAGCATACAGTTTTCTACAATTTTTGAAAAATTCTATTCTCCAAAGACCACAAAAATCTACAGAAATAAAGTCAAACTTTAGTAAGTATTTCACAGATGGAATCTATTTCTCGTTATCTTCATATTACACCTGCTTTATTTGCTTCATCTAAAATTGACTGCGTCAGAAACAAAACCAATTACCATCTTCACCCTCTTCTGTTTACCCTTCATTCTCTCGACAAATTTTGAGTAATATTACAAAAATGACAAGAAACGAGTCACAATGAATTCGCTATGCAATGCCAGGCTCTAAAATCTCACGAAGGCAACGCTGGTCAGCAAAGCAGCCAAACGTGACAACCGAGAAATCGTATGAGCACGACCGAACGAACCGTGTCGCGCGAGAAGAATCGATTTTCCCGGTGACTCGAATTCATCAAAGTGAGAACGAAAGAAAGAACGAAAAAGAGAAAGAGAAGGCGAATAGAGAGAGAAACTAACAATCGACGACGATAAGTCGATTATAACGCGGTTCAATATTATCGAGCGCACGGCGGCACTTGGATGGATTAATAGGAACATAAGTAGGCCGATGGTTGCTACAAAATGCTTGGATTTCTGATCGTTTCCTCCACTCGTTGCCGGTTAAGTTTCGTGCGATCGTCATGGTCAGTCGAGTAGCTGGTTGACGTCTGACAAACGAGAATTCCACGCCGAGATCATTGATACCGCCTGTGTTGGGACTCCCTTGACCGGTTTCCGGGTACAAGAGGAAAGGAATCCTTCTTTTCTTTGTTTCTTCGTACGTCTAACGTGGATTCCACGCGGTTCGAACCTCGAGATGCGGAAGTAAACATTCTTTTTTTGTGACCACGACGACAATCGTTTCGTTGGAAAATGTATCTGTTTCTTAAAACTATGTTGTTTTATCTGGATTGTAGGAGTATCAGAGATTCATAGTATCGTGTTTGAAAATTGTTTTTCTTCGAAATGTACAAATAGTAAGACTGATGTAAGAATAAAGGGGATTTATAAAATAGAAAAATATGTATTAATCGTTTATGTCATTAGTTGGCAAATTACTGCGATAACTAAACTAGGAATCTTCCTGTATTCGTAGATTTTCTTTTTTTTATTTGATGTTTCACATTCACAATTTGTCCAATTTGGACATTTGGTAGAATTCTTTAGCTGGTTGATTATCATGTGGGTGGCTACCCCCAGCGGGGTACCATCTTCGTGTTTGTTAGGTTATATCCTTTATGGTATTCGTAGGTGTTCGCGATTTGGAATGATCGTCCGTTTATGATTCGGACAGCACCTCTCCCTTTTTTGGGAAATTCCGAATTGCCCGCTTTCCCGAGCGGGTAATCTGATGACGCAGAGTTTGAGGAAAACCCTGGCGATACCGAAGGGTATGCATCTCCGTGAGCACAAGTAAATCTAGAAAACCCCAGGGATGGAAAGGCACGATGTACGAAGGAAACTTAGCGACTGGGGGAATGTCAACAACATACTGGGACAGTCTTTATCAGATCGTCGTATCGTGCAGGCGAAAAACTACATCTTCTTCAGTCTCAACAAGATCTTACAATCAGGACATCAAACTCTGCTTGTATACAACAAGTGCAAATAAATTGCCAAACTATACTAACACTCGATATATTACATCTCCTTCATCTTGAGCCTTAATTCGTTCAAAGTTCGCGGTATCGACCGATCGGTTGATCTGACCGATCGCTATTTAGTTGATAATTTTTAACAATAGGAAATTTGAAAATGTAAGATTGCACAATACGAAAAAATATATAAAATGCACAAAGTACGATGGTTTCTGTAACACTTGGTAGTTAAAACAATTTTCTATCGGGCTTCTACTTTCTTAATTATATCGTCGAAAATATTAATTTGCATAAGAATGCGCAGTATGTTGATAACGAATCGAATCGGAGCGACGAAATGAAAACGTTAGCCGGAAGGTATTCGCGGAGGAAAAGCCATAGGCACGCGGCGGAATCGATCGGAGGTCGATGTACTTATCCTGTTCCCAAGCGTGTCTATCTATCTGCGAATCTGGTGCTGTGGCGGACCACTCTTCGTGGCGTTGTCGATAAATCACCGTGGTCGTTATTAAAGGACCTCGGAAATCGGCGACGGACAAAGAGGAACGGCAAAAGAGGTGAACGTTCCACCAGCACGAGTCCACGACGACGACGACGACGACGACGACGACGCCCAACAACGAGCACAACGCGATAGCGAACAAGGATCGTAGATTGGACAATGGCCACCGGGCAACATGATTTTCCATTTAATCCGGGCTAGAATATTTATCGACGTTGGCAGTCGGACGTAATTTTTTAATCGAGACCGCTGTCGAATTCCCGCGCCAAACGCTGCTTTTGTCTCGAATAATGGCACCCACGTGGAAAAAAAAGCGCGAGAAAATTCCTCGGAAAAATGATCGCGTGAGGTTTTTGTATGTTCAATGAAATGTTGCGTAGTTCGAATTATTCTGTTTGTTTGTCGGTTATGATGACTTTTCGACACGGTAATGTGAAGAGATGATCGAATATTTTGAAAGAGAATAGCGTGACTTACGAGGAAATGAAGCGATGTATCGATGTTTCGTGAAAACACGTGCTTCGGAAACGTGTGTTTAAAGAGGCTGTAATTTTTCATATGTTCTCTAATTACACGTCCAATTTCAAAGTTTACAATACTCTTAAATATGTCCAAGTAAATTGTATAAACCACAATCTTTCCGAAGCTTGTACCAACTGCAGGTATTCGTAAGTTTAACCGTTTTAACAGCATCGTTTAGTTTCTACTAAATTAGACAAAATACTTGAAGCTCAAACTGTAGCAGCTTATATGTACACGAATTCACAGAAGTTTATTCTGCCTTAATGTCTAATTTACCCAGGTAATTTTATCATTGGTAGCTCTAAACCATTATTATATTACAACTACCTGTTGCTATTATCTTATTTCATCGCATAATCTGTACTTTAGCATTCGAATAATTTCAAGCGCAATCTAAAGCGCAAGAAGAAATCTTGCGAAACACGTAAGTAGAATTTCCCCAAGGAAACAATTTGTATTTCACACGACGCGTATATATTGATTTCACGAAAAAATACATACGTGCTTCTTCCGATCGTTCGCTTGCAATTAATCGATGTCCATATTTTAATAACATCCGTGTATTCGTAATATAAATCAACCAAATTGTCCGCGTATTCCCTGCAGTGTACATGTAACAAAGGGGTAATTCCTTACGCAAAGGGAATCGCAGCCACGAAATGGAAACGTTTATTAACGCGACTGGCGGACGATCTCGTCCGATATCCCGGGGTGATCCGATCGAAACAAGGCGAAGCGACCACGAAATCGTTCTCTTTGACGGAAGTAAAGGCAGAAATTGCACGGTGAAAGGAGCAAGGGGTCGACGCTTCGTGTTGTCGGTTACCGAGGCTACAGTCGAGCTTTGTTAGCTTTATGTTGCTGATGAGAGATCGTATCATCGCGCCAAACTATCGCGGGCTCGTCTCTTCTTCTTGCCTCTACTCTGCCATTCCATCTTTCTCGTACTTTCGTAGTCGTTTCTGTTCTTTCCTCCGAGTCACAAAGACGATATGGTGTATCCCTGACCCCTGTGAGAGGCGAAAGCTCTCATTTTCTTGCTTCTGATAAGCATCGCCATCGTACCATGGAAAAAGTCTATCCACGGTTTCGCAGAGTTTCGCGAATATCGCTCGCTTCAATTCTAATATCGTCCGTGTTAATCTCGTTATTTCTCTTGCTAATCTTTCGCGGATTAATTGAAGTGGTTTCGGCTCTTTTACGGCTGAATTGATAAACTTATTTATCTCTGTTTTAGATGTTCCTAAAAGAGTACTTGGTTATTTTTTGATCATCTTCTGGCATAAACAGATCGAGAGTATTCAATAATACGTTTGAACTTGTTTGAAATGGATGTAGATGAAATTACGTTTCTAAATTCTACTTTCATTTATTTTATGTACTTCAAGCATATAGCTTATGAATCGTTGTATTTGTTAGCGAACACAACAATTTTTGCTGATTTATTTCATAATGAAGTGATTCGATAAATAGTACAGCTTGTTGTTATACATCAGACGAAGATAGAAAAGTCATTTTAATATTTTACTGCCCAACTTTACTTGTACGGTAGAGATAATTATAATTATACACACACGTGAAATACGTATAATACAACCTAGAAGAACTGCATTACTTACGATGGGAGGATCTAACATTAATTGGACAAAATGAACAGGCTGGTCCTTCTACCGTTAACGACGAGATAATCCAAGCTGACACGCAACAGTGACCCAGAATGTTCGCGAATGATCGGTGATCCCGATTAATCGACGCGGTTAAACACGAAGACAGACGGTTTTGGCCCTTTCTTCCGGAGAAATCGCGGTTAATTCTGGTACATGGTCGAGTCATTGGTCCCAGAAAAGACAAAGAGGTCGGACAACGGGGAGGAAAAGAACGTGGCGGATGATTCATCAGCGGTGTGTTCCTTTCCAGCCGCGCAATTGTCATCAATTTCGGGCCTGGCCGTTAGGTGTGGTGTAACAATAAACGACGCTCGTGCAACGAATACATAAAACATTCTCTTCTCTCTCTCGTTGTTCTTTTGCCGCTCGTAAACTCGCTGTGCATGACCATCCACGGTGAGAGAAGGCTACTGTCGGTCCCGTCGTATGACACGCCATGTGAACCATCGCGATTTTCTTGGAACCTCGCGATTAACTCTTGTCTCGTAATTTTGTGCTTACTTTGATCTCGCTCGTGTACGAGTCTTTGACGATTTAATTCAGATACGCCCGAAGACTTTAACATAATGTAATTTTCCATTTATCCAAGATCTACGTTTAACGTATTAATTAATTCTGTTGCGGTTCTTGAGTTTCTTCATATGTCGCGATTCTACTTCTCGCCAACAACGCAACATCTCAGTTACCGAGTAAATAAATATTTCTCAAGCCTCGCTGACATCACCCTACCAATTACAAATTAAGAAATTTCTGTAACGACAAAACGCTGCTGGTTAGTTTCTCAAAAATGATCATTTCATCCGCAAAATATCGGACAACGCGAACAGTGTTATAAAAATATAACAAAATTATCGATAATTAAATTTATTCCCCATTACCAGTGGAACAAAAGGTTCCTTAAAACACCTCTGATCGCGAGTGTACACAATACGATTTCGATTTTCGTCGTTGCAATATCGTTATTGCATAATTTGAAAAAAATGAAATTTTATTCGTTCGAATATCTGTTATCTGCGCGGGATGTAACCCGTGACACAATTTCAATTACTAATTACGATATTCAACAAGTTTCGGAATTCTAAAATTGATCTACTGATCTTAAAACCCATCGTCATTCGTGGCGCAAAAACGAGTCGAACAATCGTTTATCAATGCGAAATACATGAAATTTATTTCTCTTTAACCTACAAAACGTCGGCGGAACGTTTGAAAACGATTTAATAGCGTCGTGCCTCGCTCTTTGTCGCGTTATAATTGTGGTTACGTGTAAAATTCGCGGGCTATGCGCGAACTTCCGATCCCCCTTGGCAGGCATTAGCCTGATTACACGAAACGACACGATGGTGGCACTTCGCCCCGGAAAACGATTATTGGCCGCTGCACGCCGCCACTTTGTATGCATGGCCCGTTTCGAGAGGGAAAGTTACGTTATTTTCGTACGGCGTCTCTCGTAGTCACCTGGCACACGTTTCACACGAAAGCCTTCGCAACGCTTTGATGCTTTGTCGAAGTTTAGTTGTTACGGCTCAAGATACACAGCGTCTACGAACACAACGTTTGGCAATGATGCGTCGTTGTGATTAGACGATGTTCAGTTACCGTTTGATGTGTGGGAAATTCTATATTGGAACTATTGTGGACACTTTTGTGATGAAAATTGGCACCGATGGATCGATAAGTTTCGCCTATTATATATCGTGTATTCACGGTTCATGAATATATTTGAACAATTGTAGAAGCTTTTTCTGTATATATGCTATGTGGGTTATACAAAAGGTTATACGTCTACGATGTGACATTGTGTGGGCTATTATTGGGTACATTGTATATACACGTTCGTGAAGTTTGAAATACATCTGGAGATATATAAAAAAAAGCTACGAGATACATATTTATTGCAATCATATATCTCGTAAAAATCACGAAATTATTCGTCATACCGTATTCATTGTATCATAATTCCAAACATTATTTACGAAACAAGAACCACTCAAAAGAAAAGGAGAGGAACGCGGTTCTCGAAATCTTCCACATTATCTCTATATTCATAGCGAAAGCAACAAAGGTGTCGTTGTTTGCAGTCAACCTGACTTTTTCGTGGTTGATCTGTCGCGTCGATAAAAGAGGTCGAAAAGGATGGAGTCTGCGGTGTAGACGCTATACAGTACACCGAGCACAGTATGGTTGTAATGTCGTCGGTTTATTGGTGGCGCGTGGAGAACGTTGGAAGGAAGGTTCGCGTGCTTGTATCTACGCCCACGCGGCCTAGGTGACGACAACGTTTCCGATATATCGAAGCAGAGACGTATCTTCATATTAGTCGCCCACGCGAGAAATCGTT